CAATTCTAGTTTATCTGTTCATCTTCGGTACATTCTGCTTGTCCTTTATTCCATAAAAGCAAGATACTTTTTATATCACTCCTCTGAATTTATATTTGTTAAGTAGTAATATGTGTAATGAAATTTCAAGGCAGTTATATAAAATTCAAATCAAAAGAATTTTTGAAAATCTATACATATAATTTCAATCGAAAGAAAGACCTCAGTAACAATTTACTTCAGATGACCCTTTAATGCAATATATAATTTCACAATATAATATTAATTTTAGTCATTTGTAGTTGTGCTATTTATGCATATTGCATTTGAAATTATACATTGTATTTGTATTTGTATGTATATTACAAATATATTCATACATAAATAGCCATAAATCTAAATTTTGTGAAGTATGAAAAAAAAAACATAAATTCTTTCATTTTGAGCTATTTTGAACTCTAGTGTAACTACCCTTAATATTGATTATATATAAATATATATATCAATTAATTATTATATTTGTATTTATTATTATTTTTTACTCTCTCTTTTATTTACAACTGTCCAGTTAAAAACATTTAATACATTTGTGGAATTTACAATTCTCGGCCGTAAAGGGACATTGTATACTAAAGGGGCATGTTGGAAGAACAACTCAATAGTTGTTTTCCCATTGGATATAATATTCACAATATTTTATTATTATCCATAAATTATTATATACATTGCGTGGCAAAATATTTAAATTTCATTGAGTCTTTGTCAATGCTCTGACAAATGACCCTTTCAAGTAAGAAGCTCTAAAAATGCTCAACTTTAACGAGCTTTTTCAAAAGATTCTACGTCGAATTACTAACATTCTCTCATTTTGAATATAAAAAGTACAACAAAAGCGATTATCTCGATTCCATTAGCATCATTCCTTCTCGTCGTTCGAACTGCTCCCAATGCAACCCTTTCATCAATTCCTCTGTGCCTTTCGGAAACCATCAAGCGCAGAAAATTTCCCAAGGGTATAGGTCGAATACAATACACAACAAAGATGCTCAGAAATAATTCTGAATGTAAATAGAACTAACCGATAGAATATTTTCAATTTCTTTTCTAGCGAATGAGAACTTTTTATTTAAAATTCTTTTTTTTTCAATCCTTTTACTGTCATCATTGCTTTTGCACGATATCTTCATTTTTGTATGACTTTTTGTACTTTCAATATATAACTCGCATGCAATTCTAGGTTTGATCGAAGTTTTCACTATTCTGTCATAGTTTTGAATATTAAATGTAAAACCAATTTAAAAAAGCAGGTCCAATTGAAAACTAGTGGTGCGTGGCATCGCGCCTTAAGGCAAATTGCTGCTACTTTCAGAAATAAATATTCAAGCAAAAAAAAAATTAATAAATATTGATCAATGAAGAATAACAATTATTTTAAATAAAATTCTAAGAGTTAATTACAATCACTATATATGTATTCCTTCATATAATATATAATAACGACCTTATCTCTCAAAACACTTGAAAATGTTTACGTTAAGAAGAGTTGCCGAATGAATCCAACTTAGGATATATTTCTTACGATTACAATAACGCATATGAAGAAATATATGCATTTTTAAACTGAATTGTAAATTTAAAATTTATATTCAAAGTATAAAATTTTGCATATTTTCGAAAATTTTGAAAAAAAAAATCTGAGAATTTTGGAATTTGTTTGAACCCTTTAAGTGAACTATAGAAATTGAAAGACTTGGCACGGAACCCAAAAATTGTAACAAAATTATTATGATTAGTACACATGTTTAAAATCTCTATAAAATATCTCTAAAGTGATCATTTCAGACACGCTAAATATCTTTTTTTTACATTATCTTCTGTATCTCTGAAACCGCTAGACCTGCCTTTACATACATCCATTTTTTCTAAGATATGCCACCATGTTCAGAAACCTTTAAAACGTAAAATTATGCAAAAATTTTAATTTTCGATTGTTGTGCAATTTACATACATCCATTTTTTCTAAGATATGCCACCCTGTTCAGAAACCTTTAAAACGTAAAATTATGCAAAAATTTTAATTTTCGATTGTTGTGCAATTACTATAACTTACCCTAGGGGAGTTAAATATATAAATATATTATATATTTATTATAATATTTTATTTAGATTATATATTTCGTCAAGTATTCTAAATATTTGATTATTGTTTTAAAGTGTCTTAATAAAAAAACGATGTTTGAAAGAAACAATTATCATATTATTTTGTTCTAAGTTAGTGAATAACAGAGAGATTGTTTTAAATATTGTCTTCGCTCATCACATACCAATTTAACTCGAAACCAATTTGTTTTATTTTTCAAATGCGAATGTGGTATGATATTTAAAACTTTTGTTTTATGAATGCAATACTATAAGTTGAATGTTTAATATTATTCGATGCATATTATTCTATCTCACATTTCATATCACAATAAATGTTCTCGTGTATGCAAAATATTTGATTGTAACAAAAGCAAAATATTAAATATTTAAATTCGCCTGAATAGAAATATGAACTTTGGTTATTTGTTGACATTATTGGTAGATAAATTTAAAGATAGTGTTTGGCATTTTAGAAAAAAATAAACTTGAAACTTCACTATTAGACTTGAATGGATGAATTTCAGGGAAAGAAGGCACAAAATTTAAATACAAGATCAATCAATGCAATCATAAGATTAGAGTGGGTTGAAAACCACATAACTCTTTGTTTGTCTGTGCGTGTAATTTTGTAAAATAAAAGTATTTACAAAAAAATTGCGCGACGTATAAAAAATAAAATACGCATAGCATTCTCACCAAATAGGGTATCCCCGATACAGTAAATATAAATCTTCATTTACCATCAAAATTTTCATGTCAAAGCAAAGCTCAATAAACGTCACATAAACAACGATACTTTTAAAACCCCCTGCGTTGGCGCAATGAAAATTTATGAGATTTTTTCCTAAAACAAGGTCCGTTTCACAAATGCCAGCGGGTATTTAACAAAAGTTGCATGCTACGCTTATTATATATGATATGTGATTTTTACCATATGATAATGCAGTGTTCAAACTAATTAAAAGTTGGAAGTTCCTCCGCTGTAATCAAGCAGAGTGGTTCTTCGGATTTCATTAGGCGGCGGGTTTGCGGTCACGTAATGACCGTGCTGCCATTGTATGCATATTAATTAAGAATAAATAGTAAGAGGACTCGTGGAACCATAATTATTACTTATTCAGAAAGAAAACAGAAAACAATCTTTTAGTCCTCGGTTATGTTTCTAAATTGGGCTGAATAATTAACATAGCCTGCTGAAGGAGTAACACCACTGTGAATTTTTCATTAATTAAAATGCTCACCAATCACACAAATCAATATATTTCAAAGCCCTTACGTAATTCTCTAGACACCCTACAAAAAAATTACAAAAAATAAATGTTTCATGCTGTTACCACTTCACCCTTCTCGTCATGAGGCCCAGTAGACCCCAGGAGTGTTTAAACGCTCGCTGTGGACAGACTATTGATTCGATTTTTTTTTTTTTTTAAAAAAGAAAATAAATTTTAAACTATCAGCAATGCGACAGCATAATTTTTGAAGGTAAAATAAAAATTAAAGGTTAGAAAAATGCTCGGAAACTATTGACCTTGTACAATTTTTTTTTTTTTTTTATATATAACTTCGTGTTTTTTCTCCACGAAAATAATAAGCAGATATAGTGTAGAAACATATAGGACAATATTAGGCACGCCAAAGATAGAGTTGGGGTCCAGTAGATTCCAGGTGTACGAAAAGGTTTTTTTTTATTTATTTATTTAATGGCCTTGCTAACGTGAGTATTTAGCTACCTACTACCTTACATCATATTCTATACAATAATTAAATAAATACACTTAAAAACTAATTTTTATTCTTTCACGAAATCACATAGTAAGCTATAACATCTTATGTTCAGCAATACAGTATATAAATTAGAAGTACGAAAAGGGTTAAAAAAGAAATTTTGTGTAAATAACCGATTGGTCCTGAATATTATCATAATTTGGAAAGCATCAGTTCATTTGCATGAAGAACAATTATATAGTTAGTCATTTATCATTTTTCCAAATGTATATTTACGCGTACAGTATCAATCACACGAAGGTTTATCCCATAATAAAAAAGGTTAGTTATTCTATTAATGTTAAAAAAGTTTGTTAAATAACACGGTGAAAATTGTTAAAAATTTATTCCTAGGCCCTAGAAATACTCAAAAAATATATTCATTTTTAACTACTCACTCTATTAGTTTGTACAAATAAAAATCTGCTTTCTTAGGAAAAACGTGAATAAACATGTTACAAAATTATAATTGAGGACTACGAATATAGTATATATCATAGGTATATATTATATACCTCACAAAATACGTTAAATTACATTAAAACACAATAAATTAATTATCTAACAAAAATTCTAACAAGCTATAAAAAAAACTATGAAGAAATTAAAACGCAGACAAAATTATGAATAAAAATATTTTGAGATAAGTATGTATATAACTCATACTTCCGCATTAAGAATGCATTTTTGAAATTATCTCAAATAAATTTCGATGCGTCTATTAACATAGATTTGATAAATCAACAATTAATTATTTCTCGCCTTAGTAGTTATATTGTTAGAAAATTCCTTTACAACTGCAATATTATTTACTAGTATAAAATAAATATCAGCTCTTCGCCTAAAATACACAAGCCGTACGTCATACAGTTCATGAGGCGTGAGTTTTTCGGGAGAAAAATTAAACACCATTTTAAGCGAACAAGCGGTTTCATTGTTAACTAGATCAATAATTAATTTTGGCGTATGTTGTATATTTTACAAGGACCGGACATAAAAGTTGAGTCAAATTACGAAATATTGTTTCGTTGCCAAAATTCAAGAACATATTGATTTTGTATATTTAAATATAAGAAAATAATAGAAAGATAAATATGGTATGAAAAATCACTTACTTCATTTGTTTTACGATAGTACTTTTTCCTGATTCTCCAGCACCTGAAACAATCGAAAATGAAGGTCAATTAAGTAATGAAAAATATCATATTTATTCAAAATTATAGCTATATATACCTATATACCAATATACCCATATATGGATTAATTATCATAACACTGTGGGCTTTCAATACAAAATTATATTTTTTTTCGGTGCTGCTGTATCCTGATGCAAAAGTACAACAATTATAATAAATTTGTCGAATTTGGGAGTTGTAGCCAAAGCTTCAATTGTATCTTACGTGCAATTAAATTTATCTTAAGTTTGAACCATTAATTTATATTAAAGAATTGAATTTATTTATTTCGTCCAATCGTCTAGTATAACAATAAAGCAAGAAAAAGTTCTATTTCCCATTTCGTATACAAAACTCTGAACAATATTTGAAAATTTTGCGCTAAGATTTATTACAAGTCAACAAATCCCAAGAATCTGTACGATTTGTTATTCCACCAGGAAATGGAAAGCCGTAAAATTTTAGAGCTGTAATGAATAATATGAAACTCGTGTTATATTGAGCAATTAAATTTATTGTGCTTGCCTCTTACACAAACACAGTAAACATGATTTGTGCTTATATTAAATGAGAAGTAATCCATTTGACATCGAACACTATAACGATTTACGACAATTAGACAAAGATATTCCATTCATTGACTCAATGAAATTTTAATATCATGCGGATATTAAGTACAATCATTCATGAGTCCAGGAGAAAAGAACAATACTGCAAAAAACTAGTTGCAGAAAAGCTTTTTTGCCAAAGCACTTTATTTTAATTATTAAATCAATAGAACAGAAACTTGTTTCATTTATGTAAATTCCTCTAATGTTAATAAACGTAGTAGCTCGTCTTTTTTTCACACTAATTGAAATTTGATATGATAGATTAAATAAGAGACTTCCAAATCTGATTTATCTCTAGATATTGTACCTTATTTTTTTCAGTTCTTAAGAACTTACGAGAGCTTTTAAACTTTAGCTAGAATTAAAATTGAAATCCGTATTATATTGGATATTCCAACAAAACATTTTTTGGAAATAATAAAAAAAAATCTTTCTACAAAAGCAATCGTTTTGTCAACAAAATCGGATGCTTAGTTCTCTCAAAAACTGAAATTTTTTGCACATTTATCTCCGTATTTCCGAAACGGTTGGACCTGCCTTTGCCAAAATCTAATCACCGCTTCTCCCCATCATTACAAATGAAGTGGAAAGGAAAGAAGGAAATCCAAAATGAAAGCTTTTCGGAACATTAAAATCGGATGCTCCACTCTCTCAAGAACTTAATTTCTATTTTCTGCACTCTGCTTATATCTCCGAAACGGTTGGACCGACTTTTGCCAAAAAATAAATCAGCGCCTCTCCTTATCAATATGAATCTATTACTTTTTGAATCATTCAAATCAGTTGATCCCTGCTCTCAAAAAGATGGGCGAAAAATTGCATCCATACATACGCACACACACAAACACACACACACACATACACACACATATACTCACATACGGATACATCTATTTTTTCTAAGATATGCCAAATGTTCAGAAACGTCTGAAACGTTCAGATGTGCAAAAATTTTCATTTTCGATTTTTGATGATTACAATAATTTACCCTACTGGAAATTAATAATATTTATGTTTTCAATTTTATGTGTTGATTTTATTCCATTGTTACTTATGATTATTATGTATTATGTGAGGAGTTAATATAATAACGCTAAATTAAATTAAAGCTTTTATGCGAATGTAACAAAAACGTAATTGTTTTGGCCTTAAAATATATATTGTTTACTTTCATTGACCATAACATACTGGGCTATAGTTTAACCCTCCGTCGGTCGGATATTTTTTCACCTTCGAACGGTCGGAAAGGTCTGGCTGGACCACCATTCATTTTACATGCATTTAAATGGGATAAATGAGTTTTTGGTGTCTTATGTATTAACGATTATATAAAAAAATCAAGAAATATAAAAAAACGTTGCTTTTTTTGTTAATTTTTCTGTTTTAAATCAATGAAAAACAGTATTTATTCTTTTTGGCGCCTGAATGAATGTGTGTATTACTCATCCGATTTTCAGTGTTTGCGATTACCAATAAGTTTGGTAGATTTTCAAGAAACTCTCGTCATGAAAATACTAACATTCATGTTAGAACACATAGCAAAGAATATAAACAACGCAGTTTGATTAGAAAATACCATGAAAAAGCGTATATTTCATACAAAATGTATGGGTGGTCTAGACAGACCTTTCCGACCGTTCGAAGTATAAAAAAAATTAAATCCTTATAATTATCCTTCTGTACATTTTTTCGTCCTGATTTTCTCATTGATCGACAGCTAATGAAATTTTAGGAAAAGTCAAGAAATTTCAAGTCGATAGGAGTACTAGAAGTATTTTTTTTTTTTCTAATTGAAGTCGAAAAAAGTCTGGCCAGACCAGGCCGACCGACGGAGGGTTAATAAATAAAATGTTTAAAATATAGTTGTAAACAGATTTATTTCGAAGGCTTAATATTTTATTGATGTTCGGGAGAACATTAAAATAATATCAATTTTAATTTGCTCATTTCAGTCCATCCATGCATCACCATATGGAAGTTATAAAGATTTCTTTTACCTTGATTCACTTACTCCGGTGACATAAGTATTAGAATAAAATTAATTTATATAAATAAAAACAATTCCCATGTGAGTAAAAACCAGTTCCTTACTTCCGTTTCATCACTGTCTAATTAAAAATATTAAATTGCATCAAAAGCACTTCGGTTGCTTGGAAATTTATTCAAATCCAGATTACAGTTGTCGACTGCTGACGGATCGTCAAAACACTGGGAACTATTTTTTGCACAATGCGGGTTCAAAGATCACAGACGCTCATTGTTAATGAAGTAGTATAATAAATAATATTATGAGCTTCAAGTTCTTTAATTAGATATTCGAAACGGCCACACATAATGCAGCATCTATATATGGAAGGCATTTCATTAAAATTGTGCATTATTTGCATCAATATAGCAAGTTGGTAATATGCAGATGGTTAATCCCAGAGCTTTATAGCGGTGTAAACTATCAGGATTAAATTTAATCGAGCACAAAGTTGAAATTAATGCTTGAACTATGTTTGAGATTCCAATTAAAAGTTTTGGATTGTAAAGCTACTGGCCAGTTGAATTTGCTCTTGAAGTGGCTATCTAGATTTGTCTAGGAACCACAAAACTGCCAGCAATATAAATGGCTTTGTACAACTTGACCAGTAAAATTTATTTGCATCAGAGTAAATGAGTCTGTAATATATATTTTATATGAAGCAAATATGTATTAATGTATTTTAAATAAAGAATGTACAAGCTAAAAACGATAATTTTGGAGTTTGCTTATAATATTTGCCAAAAGCATAAGGAAAAAGTTGGCCAAAGAAAACTTCTTCTGGATACATTTATTATTCTGTACTCCGTGAGATAAAGTATTTTATTTTAAGAGTACTTCATTTCATTTTAACATCAAATATATTGATTACTATTATTATTGTTGATATAATCAAAATTAAACGTGTAAATAAATTTCTAACTGTGATAAAAATAATTTCTATTAAAAAACCATAACTGGAATACCTTTTAACATGAACTACACTTACTAGATAATGAAAATATACAAAATGAAAATACCCAAAGCTCAATAACAAAAATGTAATTGAATATTTAAATACAATCATTTGCATTTTTTTATCTCAGTATTAAAGATATTTATCCACCAAATATATGGTAGTTATCATTATTATTCTTATTACTGTTAACATTATTATTCTTATTACTGTTAACATTATTATTCTTATTACTGTTAACATTATTATTCTTATTACTGTTATCATTATCGTTGTCATCATAATGTATATTATTATTTCTTTTAATATATTATTTGTTGGTAAATCATAGCAGAATAGCTTATAGAATTATATATAATTTTGATTGCTGTTTATTAATGAATAAAAAAATATATCTTGTTCAACCCTTGTCAGGATGCAAAATCAGTTGAATTGCAAAGAGATAATAGTAAAATTCATATAGTATAAAATACTGAAGCAGTTTACATATTCGCAATTACACTCTTCATTTGAGTTTGTATACAAAAAAAAACATTTTCCTGCAAAATAGAAGTCTTAATAAAACTATAGACTTCACGCTCATGATAAGTGGTAACAAAAGTTTCAACTTCATCGACAAAAAAGTAACAAAAATGAGTGGTATTTGGTTGTAACAATTTATGATATCAATGATTACAACTTAAAATTTTTTAACTTCCCATAGGGTGAGTTATAATAATCGCAAAAAAACGAAAATGAAATTTTTTATAGATCTTTACGTTTGGTATACCTCAGAAATGCGGATACAAATTTTCATCGACATGGATCAACTGATTTGAATAATTCAGAAAAACATTCGCATCCTACTAATAAGGAGACGTGCTGATTAGTTTTTGAATATGCAGGTCTAGCCGTTTCGGAGATACGGGGTTCCATTTGTTTACACGTTAGACAATTACGAGGCGCTTACTCGCTTTGATATTTCGTCTCCAAATCAGCAATTTCTCAAAAAATTAATTTTTTCTAAGTTTTGAAAGTTTTTTTTTATAATTTACTGTTCGGTACGAAAGTTCCAGCAATTTGCCTTAAGGCACGATGCCAGCCACCACTAGTTTTATTATTATTTGCATAAATTTAAACACCGCCTGGAAAAAGCACGAATCAAATATTAAAACTTCTAAGTAACAATACTATAAATATAAAATATTTACAAACACAAAACATTACAATATCGAATACATAATTTGATAAGTTAATTCCGACGTAGAATATTCTAATAATCCGCCCATGCAAATATCGGTTCGGCCAATTAGCCGATAAATCCCGCGGTGAATAATGATGGTCCGATGCTACGCACACGGCGCGAGGAAAATGCACGCGGGTATCACGAACGTCAATTACTGTTGACTTTA